AGTGCCCTGCAGGGCGCATAGGAGCCTCAGACGGTGGCTGCTGCCTGGGGGAGAACTCAGCAGCCCCGGCCCAGTCCTGCTGAGAATGTACACGTAGGTACCCACCCTCTGGACCACCTTCACCCATCTTCACCACAGCCTTCGTGATCTTCCACCCCCCTCCCCATTCCCAGGGCCAGCAGGGGGAGGGCTGGAGGCCCTGCCTTTCCACAAGCCAGGCCCAAGGAGGTTGTGTTCTGTCTCAGTTCACACTGAGGCCCTAAGGCCGAGGGAGGCCAGCAGTCTATGAGGTAGACATGGACGGGGATAGGGTGCAGGGCAGCCACAGCCTCACCAAATAGCATTTCATTTATGCAAATGGGGAGTCAGAAGCCCGGGGAGGTGAAGTGACCGGTTCACAGCCAGCAAGCAGGAAAAAAAGGTTTGTCACTGAGTCTGTCTAGATCAGCAATTCTCTCAACTGGCCAGGATTGTAGACCCCAGGAACATTTGGCAGAGTCTGTAGATTTTTATTTTTTTTTTGATAATCACAGCTGAGAAAAAAGCTTCTGATGACATCTAGTGGACAGAGGCCTCCTAAACCTCCCGGATGCTACGCACAGCGCCCCCAGCAAAGAGTGCAGATGTTGAGAAGTACCACTGTAGACATCTCCCCGCATCCCAAGAGTGTTCTTCACTCCAGCTCCTTGCTAGGCTCCTTTCTCATGGCCTGTGAGATCCGGAAGCCCCTACCCCTGAGCCTGCAAGAAGGAACAGCTGTACACCCCACCCTCGCCCAAGTTCATGCATTTCCCACAGCGACACCTCTAGGTTTGCCCTCACCTGCCCACTGCGGAGAGAGGTCTGACCTAAGGAGGGGACACCTGCCAGCCCCGCTGCCTACTATCTCAGCTGGGCTGCCCTCCAAGCTACTATGCCAGTGCCCAGTTTAGGTTAGTTTTCAGGCGTGGCCACAAGATGGCAGCCCAGCCCTCCACGAATGCTGAGGCTCTGGGCCTGGAGAGCAGCCGCATGCTGTGCCAAGCTGGACAAAGGCCTGGGGGCTGGACTTGGGCCACTTCCAGAGCCCAGCGGGACCAGACCGAAGGCCTGCAAGTGCCAGGTGTGAGAACATAGGCCAAACTTGGCTTCAGGTCTTCCTTCCCTGTTTTCCCTGCCTAGCCCAGCTCATCCTTTAGCCATTCCCACGAGGACTTTCCCAAACCCTGTTTTCCCTCCTCTAGAGCCAGAGCAACAGTTCCAGCCCTGGGGGTTAAAGATATAGGGACAATTACTTCCATTCAAAGATAAAGAAACTAAGTCCAGGGAAATTGAATAACTTACCCCTGTTCAAGCTAGTCAGTGGCGGAACAGGGATTTGAACACAGGCGATCTGGTTCTAGTCCATGATCTTAACCACTAAACAGTACTCCCCCTGCCTGCCACCACCAGCCACAGCCACTGAAGATCCCCTGGCAGGGAGCCAAAAGCCTTCTTCTCCAAGGGAGGGGGCAAAAGGCCATGCAGGAGGCTGGGGGCTCTCAAAAGTAAAAAAGAGGTGAGGTTTTCAGCTGGGCTGGCACTGTGGTTAGCATCTGGGTTAGCTAGGGCTTGGTCAGTAATTCCTCCCCCAACCCTGGCGCAGCTTCTAATGGAACACCCCCACCCCCACCCCGCTTCTGTGTTGGCCTCTTAGTTTTTTCTGGGCTTTCTGCAAATGCCAGCTTTCTCACAGTGTGAAGAGGAAGTGACAGAAGGGACTTTTATGTCCTGCTTAGGATATAGAAGGGAGGGGCATTCCTTGGGGGCTGGGCTGGGGGTGTCATGAGGGATCTAAGTGAGAATCCTAAAGTGGAACGGTGTGGGGGATCTGGGGCACAGTTCCCTCTCGAGCTGGGGAGGCTCCTCTACCTGTCTTCACTCTCCTCTGAGGGACTGATGGATACCCTTTCCCATTCCCTCTCCCTCCAACCTCAGGTAACTTCCTCCAGCACATCCTCCAGGGCCAGACCTGATCAAAGCCCCTAATTACCCACCCTCCCCCTAGGAGGAGCCCTGCAGCTGTCTCCCCACCCACCCCGCAGGGTCCCTCAAGACTCAGCCTGGGGGGTGCCTAGGTGGGACTCTGTGCTGACCCCCGTGAGGACCCTTGTAACCCTCTTCCTCAATTCGGCCTGTTAGGGAGTCCTGACTTCTGAAAACCGGGAGCCCCGGAAGGCATGACAGTCCTGTTTATAGAAATGAGATGAATCCTGACAGGAAAAGAGGAGGCATCCTGGGCACCTGAAGCTGGCATTGCAGAAGGTTTCCTGGAGAAGAAGAGGGCCTGGATGTCTAGCTGGAAGGGGAGGTCTGGAGAGGCCTCTCTCTTGGCTCCCTATCTGGATTGGGGTGGGCAATACCCACCTCTATGTGCATCTTTCTGTTTTGCTTCTGGAGTCTCTATTTCTCTGATCATTTCTGGGGACTGGGGTGGAGCTTTCTAAGAGCCTGTGTTCTGGGGATCTGAATATAAACCAGGCTGAGCTGCACCAGGCTAGGCCACCTCCAGCATGGTTGATGGGTGGGACTCTCACTGGTTGGAGTTTGAAGGACACTCTAAAACACTCATCTCTGCCTTACTCGGAGATTGAAGGGGAAATAGCTTCAATTTAGAGGAATAATGCAGATCAATCGCTGGCCCTGGCCGGAGAAGGCGCCATCTTGACCCTAGACTCCAGCCCTCTCTTTGTCTGCCTATTTCTACCTCTGTTTCCCATTTAACTGTACCTCTCTCTCTCTCCCCTTGGCCTTCTTCCATCCCTCAATCCTGGCCCTGCCCTTGCCCCTCTACATCCTCACAAGCCTTTCCCCACCACACACTGGTTCTGATGCAGCTGGATTGGGATTCCCCTGGCCCGGTGAAGAGAGAACTGCCTCCCGCACAGTTCTATACCAGGCCCCCAGCAGTGTTCGTGGGTCAGCGTAGATCTAGGGGCAGCTGTCTGCACAGTTAGCAAGTGTCAACAGGTAAATAAGAGCCTCGTATTTTCTTAATTAAATTGCCCTTTGACTAGGCATCCTGTGTTCGATTGGGCTGGGATCAATAAGCCTCTTTCCCAGCCCAGCTGGCCCTGGTGCCCGCCCTGACCTCCCCAGTCCTGCCCAGTCCCACCTGCCCACTCCCCCTACAGGCTGGCAGGCTCTCCTTGGCAGGGGCTGAGTCTGACTTGTCCTTTGTGCCCTTGTGCCTGGGCCGAGCTTGGAACAAGCAAGGAGTAAGAGTGATTGCTCAGCTAAGTAAACTGAGGCATTGGCCGAAAGCATGGGCCAGGAAGGCTTTGAGGTAGGACCTAGGACTCCCACCTCCAAGACCAGCTCTGAAGCTGCAGGAGTCAAAGCAAGCAACTGCCCCCACCCAGCCCTTAGATACACGCGGGCTTCCTGCCCGGGGCAGCTGAGCTCTCAGGGGAGGGGGGGATCGTCAAGGTCAGCAAGCCTGGGAGCAGTTGCTCCCCGTTTCTTAAGGGATCCCTACTTAGGGACCCAAGGTTAGGTTAGGAGAGTCAGTGAGCGGATCCCCTTGTCAGAGTCCTGCTGCACTCAGAGGAGACTGGGTCAGTCTGAAGTTAACAAAGCGGGTGGGGGTGGAAAGGAGGAAAGGAGTTAGTGGGGGTCCCGGGTTTGTTGTTAATGGAACTAGGACAGGTGCGAGGGGTGTTATTTTTGGAGTCCATGCAAGAGGGTACCTCGGGAAGGACCATGGAGGCTCCAGGTTCCTTGGCACGGTCGGTCAGTACTAGTCCAGGTCAAGGCGACGGGAATATTCCGTCTCCCCAAGGGATCCAACAGTGCCCAGTTTGGAAGTAGAGGGGCGTGTGTGACGCCCTTCTCACCTCTGTGTGACCCGGGGGCGCCGGCCCAGACGCGTCTCGGAGCCCCCACCCGCCGAGTGGCGCTCCCGGAGGGCGGAGCGTCGGCGGGTCCCCCCCGAGCAGCAGGAGCAGGCGGGGCTGGCGCCCCCAGCGCCGGGGTGGAGCGAGGCCGGGTTCGGCGCCGGGCAGCGAGGGGGGCGCGGAAGCAGGGCTTTTTAGGACCCAGCGCGGCGCCTCCCTCCGGGGGCGAGTGCGGCTGCGCGCGCCGTGTGCCCGTGTCCGGAGAGCCGCGGGCTGGACGCGGACCGCGCGGGCGAGGAGCGAGCAGCGGCGACAGCAGTCCGGGCCGCAGCAGCGTTGCGGGGCACCAGCCCCGCGCCTCGCCTCCCCGGCCCCGCCGGCCTCCGCGCCGCGCCCGGACCCGCCACCCCCGCCTCCCGGGCCCGACCACCGCAGCCCTCCTCGCCTCGGCCGGGAGCGCCACCCGCCTCCCAGAAGCAGGAGCGGAGCACGGTGCGGAGAGGCTCCGGAACCAGTGCCCGCCGGCCCCGCAGAGCGAGCCCGCGGGGAGAGCCCGCGCCCGGCCCAGCGCCGCCCGCAGCCGCCGGGAGCTGTCCCTTCAGCACCGCCGCGGAAGCCGAGTCCGAGCGCAATCAGCAGAGCCCCCCTTCCAGCCCGGGCGCACCTGCGCGGCGCTTCGCGGCAGCCCCGCAGGGCAGCACCCGGGCCCCTGCCCAGGGGACCCGCCATCTCCGGCGGGAGGCGGGGAGAAGGAACGAGGAGGGCGGGCGGGCTGGCTCGCCGCCGCCGAGGGGAGCAGGCAGCCAGGCCAGGAGAGAGGAAGGGGGCCGGAGCCCGCCCTGCACCCGCGCTGCAACCCGGCCACGCAGGGAGGAAGCAGCCGGCGTCCATCTCCCCCGCGCCGAGAGAGCGCTGTGGCGACCACCGCAAGCCAAGTGCAAATCCCGGGCCCCCTCCCCTCGCCCTGCTGAGGGCCAGTCTAGCGGTGCGCCGGGGAGCAGCTGACCTTCCCCCCAAAAGCTTTGTGTCGATTTCTCCATTTTCCCGCTGAGATGGTAATGGGAGCCCGGCCCCCCCACCCGCTTCCCCCTCCTCCCCGGGCTCGCCGCTGAGCGCCGCCCCCCTCCCTCCCCTCCCTCCCTCCCTCCCTCCCTCTCTCCCTCAGTCCCTCCCTCCCTCTTCTCTCCTCCTCTGCCTCCTCCACAGCCAGACCGGCTCCCTCCCACATCTGGCGCCTAGAGACCCTTGGGAGCCCGCGCGCACTCCCCTGCACCGGCACGCGCCCGACAGCGCCCCCAGAGGGCTCGGGTCGCTCGTGGAGGTGGCCAGAGCCGCGGTCCCCTGTCCCCCACCGACGGCTGGGGGGAGGGGGGAGGAGGCCGCGCGCCCCCTCCCCGCCGCCAACTCCCCCTGGCGGCCGCTCCCATGGGTGTCGCTGGGCCGCGCCATGCCTAAGGGGGCGCCGCGATGGGCCAAGGGGACGAGAGCGAGCGCATCGTGATCAACGTGGGCGGCACGCGCCACCAGACGTACCGCTCGACGCTGCGCACGCTGCCCGGCACGCGGCTCGCCTGGCTGGCGGAGCCCGACGCCCACAGCCACTTCGACTATGACCCTCGCGCCGACGAGTTTTTCTTCGACCGCCACCCGGGCGTCTTCGCGCACATCCTGAACTACTACCGCACGGGCAAGCTGCACTGCCCGGCCGACGTGTGCGGGCCGCTCTACGAAGAGGAGCTGGCCTTCTGGGGCATCGACGAGACGGACGTGGAGCCCTGCTGCTGGATGACTTACCGCCAGCACCGCGACGCCGAGGAGGCGCTCGACAGCTTCGGGGGCGCCCCGCTGGACAACAGCGCCGACGACGCGGACGCCGACGGCCCTGGCGACTCGGGCGACGGCGAGGACGAGCTGGAGATGACCAAGCGCCTGGCGCTGAGCGACTCCCCGGATGGCCGGCCCGGCGGCTTCTGGCGCCGCTGGCAGCCGCGCATCTGGGCGCTCTTCGAGGACCCCTACTCGTCCCGCTACGCGCGGGTAAGTGACAGCTTACTCTTGGAAGACGGATGGGGAAGGCAGCGTCCTCTTCCTCCAGCGGGCAGGGTGGGCTGGAAAAGTGGCGCGTAGGGAGTTCAGAGCTGAAGGAGGGTGTGTGTAAGTGTGTGAGTGAGAGGGTGACTTTGCCGGGTGCCTGGCTTGGTGTGTGTATGGGACTCAGTGTCCGTATTGCCATATTTAATCTGTATGCTTGAGTATGAATGGGTGTGTTTGTGTGTATGCGTAGAGTGTGTGTGCGTATTTATATAAGTGTGGTGGTGTATATTTGGGTGGGATCGAGTGAGCATGTGTGTATGTTTGAGTGTGCATGAGCGCCTGTTCGTGCACATTGTGTCTTTGCAGATATACACTGTGAAGGTGTGAACTGCCCTCTGGCATGGGAGAGAAGTGGGGAGATTTTCCTCCTTCCCAGGTAAGGGGGCATCCGGAGACAGCGATGGCCCAGGAAGGGAGCCTCAGGTCTGCCTGGCAGCTGGAGACAGACCAGCCCCTCCCTAGGGACCTCCTCAGTCCCAGGAACCTTCATGAATGATCAATAGCTTGGAAGTTGGTGTAGGGCTGGGCTTCTGGGCAGGGGCCTGGTGATGCCCCTAAGACCTGGACTGAGAGCAGAGCCTCCCTTCCTGGAAAGAGAGAAGGGTGCAGGGGGTCACGGGCTTCTGTCTGTCTTTTCTCTGCCACTGGCTGGGTGGGAACAGAGAGGGGGACCTTGAGGGAGGTCCTGAAAGGACAGTGTGTGTGAGGTAGGCATGTCTCCAGGCACCGCTCCCCTTCAGTGACAGCAGATGGTTGCCAGGGAGAAGGACACCCTGCTGCTGACCTTGGTCCCTCAGATGGCCTGTTTGCATTAGTGTCCTCATCTGTGAAGTGAGGAGGGGTCTGGTGGACTCTCGGGGTCTTTTCTACTGGACAATCAGTCACTGAGCCCAAAAGAGGTAGCAGCCAGCTATCCTGGAAGAGATGCCCTAGCCTTCTGGGGCTCTGTCCTCAGAGGTCTGCTGAGCACCACAGCGAGAGTGAGAGGGGCAAAGTTTAAAGCAAAACCCCTCCCCCATCCATGAGCCAGCCCCTGCCTCCCCTGGGCAAAACACTGCCTCTGCCCTGCTGGCTTTTACTGCTCCACATCCCTCCCCTACTCGCTTCTGGAGCCTGAGCCAGAGCCGGGAGTGGAGCAGGGAGCATCAGTGGACTAATGGCACTTGAGGGGCCGGAGGTGCCCAAGGGCAGAGGAAGCCCCTGCAGTCAGAGACTTGGCAGAATTGTTACTGAGATTAAAGCAAGGTGTGTGAGGGAGGGGCACAGGACAGAATCTTCTACCTTGAAGTGTAGAACAGGTGTGTATATGTGTGGGTGGGGACAGAGAGAGAGAGAGAGAGAGAGAGGACACACCTGGCCTTTCATCCTGCCACTGAAGATCTTTCCCAAGGTCACCTAGGGAGTTGGAGCTCAACAGGACTTGAACCCAAGGCTCTTGTGACCCTGTCCTTCCAGGACCACCAGCTCTCTGCTAGTCCCCTGGGGACAGGGACCCTCCGAGGTCTCCACTTCTGTCCTTTCCCTGGCAGAGGCCATCACAGCTAGAGGATTATGTAACTGAGGCTGTGCTGAGCTGTGGGGAGGGGCTGGAGCAGGGGACTGAGAGGTTGAAACCGGTTGTGCTAGGGAGGTGTGGGTGGGCCGGGCAAAGGCCTGGGCGAGAGCAGCGGCCCATTCAGCCTGCCTGTGACCTTGGGCAGCATCTCCTCCCTCTTGGCCCCTGGAAGCAGGGGTAGGCCCAACTTCTTCATGGGAGTCTCAGCCTCCCAGGCCCCTAGCAAGAGGCAGGGGCCCTCCCTCCCTCCCTTATACTCAGCCTTAGGGCTCTGGTCATGTTCCTGAGTTTCAGGGCAGGCAGAGGCCAGTGGGGCATGTTCCAGCGCCTCCCCTGCCCATCTCCTCCCAGTGGACAGTCAGAGTGTGGGGTGGCCTTCATGCAGTGGACACAAATAGGCCCCTTAATATGGCTGAGGTCTTGTTGGTGTACAAAATCACACTGAAGTCTTTTCAAATCTCCCAAGTGGAGGCCCATTGAGTCCAGACTCAGGGGAAGGCTGGGTAGTCAGACATGGTTGGGGATGGGGGCCTGGGATGCAGGTGGAGGTAAGTGTCCCTCTCAGCATATCTGTGCCACTTTCTTTCCCCCTCGCCTCACTCACAGAAAGGCTGTGGACCCCTCTGACTCCACTCTCTTAGGTAACACAGGAGGACACTGAGGCCAGCAAGGGGAGGGAGCTGCCCAAGGGCACCCAGGGCCTGAGGGCAGAGCTGGGGTTAGAACCCGGCTCCCACTGCTGCCCGCCTAGCTGCATTGCAGCTGCTTCCTGCAGCTCTGCTCAGAGACCAGCAGCTGCCCGCCCTCCTCCCTTCCATCTTTGCTCTGTCGCTGCTACTGTCACCTTTGTTTACCCCTCCCTCCCCACGGGCTCCAAGCCTCCTCAGATTGGTGGGCCAGGATTTCAATTTTTAACTGAGATTCTAGAGCAGAGCAGAGTCTCATATGTGTGACATTGTACGCATGTGTGAAAGAAAAGCTGTGTGTGTGAGAGAATCTGTGTAAGAGTTCTGTGTGGATATGAAACTTCATATGTATAAGAATGACAGTATGAGTGAGACTCTGGGTGATGCACACGTGTGTGTGTGTGTGTGTGTGTGTGTTTGTGTGTGTGAAAGATCAAGTGGGAGAGCATATGTATGTGACAGAGAGACTGCATGTGTAAGAGATGCAGTGTGTGAGGCTCCAGGTGTGTCTGAGTATATCACTGTGTGTGGCAAGGGTTGAAACGAAGCTCTGTATACGGCTTTGTGTGTAAGGCTGTGCGCACGAGAGACCCTCTGTGCCTAGGTGGCGTGTCCGGTGTGTGACAGACGCCTGTGTCCTGTTGTGAGGGTGTGTGCTGTTCGTGTGAGAGAGACCCTAGGCGTGTGTGTTGGCCTTGCTGTGAGTGCTTGTGTGAGAGACCCTTTGTGGCCTGGATGCGGTGTACCTGAGGACAGTGACATTACAGTGCAGCTTCTGTCCATGTCCTCTGTCTCCCGGAGCTCCTAAGTTGCCCCCTGAGGACATCTTCCAGCTTCAACAGACACCATTCTAACCCTGGCCAGTTGTTTGCCTGTGCCTGTTGGTGAGGTCACCTATCCCTGAGGAGCTGCCACCACCCCAGGACATGGTGTTGGCTTGGAAGATAGGGCTGCTTGGCTGGGTGGAAAGGCCCCTTGAGCTCTGAGGGTGACAGTGCTGGCTGGAGCAGCTGGGTCCCTGCCCTTTTCTCCTGTGCTCTCTTAGACAGCAGCCTGAGGAGGTGAGGGCATGAGGTGAGCTGGGACAAGATGAACCCCACTTGTATTCCAGGGTGGGGTGGCGCCCCAGACACACACGACATAAGCGTCGCACGGATGGTAAGTGGTCTGGGATGAAGGGGCTGCTTGGGGCCCAGAATAAGGGGTGTCCCAGAGAAGGTCAGCTGGGGCAGGCCCGGAGGGGCCAGCAGGAGTCCGCCAACCAGGCAGAGGGCAGGGATGGGCAGTCCTGGAAAAGTCACAGAGGTGTCGGAGCAGGTGCTGGGCAGCTGGCTTGAAGCGTGCCCTCCTGTCTTCCTCGGTGGCCAGCTCAGGTCTGGGGCCCTTGGCCTGGGTCTGTGATTTGCACGTCGTCACTGTGCCGCGTCGGCTCAGAGCCGCTGACAGTCCCGAGGCTGCAGGGTAGAGAATGTCCCCAGTATGTGTGTGAGTCTGTGTACCTGGGTGCAGTGACTTCTGTCTGTCCCGGTCCTTTGACCTCCCAAATGCCAGAGAAGGGCCAGTGGCCTCCAAGCTGGGGAAGCCCCACGTCCGTCTGCTCCACTGCCCACCTCTCCCATGACCTGTGGTCTCGTGTCTGTCTCTACTTTGTCCCTTCCTCTCTGGGACCTGATGCAGCCCTGATGCACTCCCCATCCCCAGGAGGGAAACTGCCCTGGTGGCTGCAGTGCAGAGCCCAGCCAGGGCCCCAGCAGAGACAGGACTCAGAGTCCCGGTGTGGCGTGAGGTGGGATGGGGGTCAGCGCTGTTATCAGGGGCTTCCTGGGGACCTGGCTCCTCAGCTCAGGGCCCCCAGGCCAGGGCTCACTTTGAGTCATGCTCATGTGTGGAGGAGACCCATGAGCAGTGGAGAAGGGACTGGTGTCCCCAGCCCAGCCTCCCACTCCTCTTCCAGTGATGAAAACCACAGAACGAACACCTGCTAGTCAGAGCCTCCCCGCGCAGCCTGATGTAGATTCATGGAACTGATCATGGATAGCCACAGGCACACAGTAAATGCTCAATAAATGTTGGCTGCTATTATTCCGGTTGGTTGGACCATGATTTTACCTCCTAACCATCTCTAGACTCCATTTTCTTCGCTTCATTTCTGTCTCCACCACCCTGCCTTTAGCCTCTACTGTTCCTCAGGTGCCCAGTCTGCAGCTTCCCAACTGCTGTCCCACCTCCAGCCCCTGGGCCCTCCGATCCATTTGCCGCTTGGCAACCACAGAGGTCTTTTCTACTAACAAATCTGTCAGGTCCCCACCTTGCTGGAAGACAGTTCAGGGCTCCCCTGGCCTGTGCCATGGCCTCTAAGACTCTGCCTGTTTCCCAGTCCCCTCTGGCCTGGTTCTACTCAGTGCTCTCAAGCTCAGACCACCTGGCCTGTTTCCATTTCCTATGGGCAACAGGTTCCTCTGCCTCAGGGCCTTTGGATGTGCCATTCCCTTGGAGCACACTTTCCTCCGTGCTCATCCCTCTTTGGCCTTCCTCAGTGGTGCTCTCCCTGGAGCCCACATGCCAGGTGAGGGTTCAGAACCAGGGTCCTTCTCTTCTGAGCAGCTATCTGTTTTGTGATAAAGTTTTCTCGAGTCATCTCCTCAATACGAGAGTTCTTGTTATTACCCATGAGGGAAGGGAGGACCAGAGAGGAGTGTTTT